AGGAAATCTGAATGAAGTATAGACTTTAGTGCGTGTGTGTGTGTGTATGTGTGTGTGTGTGTGCGCGCACGTATGTGTATGTGTGTGTATATATATATAGTATATACTATAGCATATATATAACTATATCAATACCGTTCATTAATTATAATAAATGTACCCTACTAGTAAGATATTAATACTAGAGGAAGTAAAGGGGTATATGGGAACACTCCGTAATATCTCCATAACTTTTCCATTTGTCTAAAACTATTCTAAAATTGAAAGTTTTTTTTTTTAATAACTTTTTCCACAAAAGGAAAACTTTTCCACAAAGGAAAAGTTTCATCCCAGGAATGTAAGGTTAATTTAACTAATTTAATGCAATTCGCCATATTAACAAACTAAAACTAACAAATAAATGATTATCTCATCAGATGCCAAAAAAGGCATTTGACAAAACCCAGAAACTGTTCCCAATAAAAAACTCTCAGCAAACTACGACTAGAAGGGAACCCCCTCGATCTGATAAAAGACATCTATGAAGAACGTACAGCCAACGTCATACTTAATGATAAAACACTGAACGATGCTCCCCTATGATCAGACGCAGAGGATGTCTGCTCTAAGCATCTGTATTCACTATATTTTACTGGAGGTTCTATTAACTGCACATGCAAAAAGGCAAGAAAAACAAAAGCATCCAGATACTCAGTAGAACTGTCTTTATTTATAGATGACAACTATTTATACAGAAAAACTATGAATCTATAAAAAAGCTACTAGAACTAATAAGGACATTTGTCAGTAAGGCAAGATACAAGATGAATATACAAAAATCAATTGTATTTTTATATACAGGAATACTAGCAATGAAAAAAATGGAAATAGAAATCTTAGAAAAATGCTGTTTGCAATTGTATAAAATATGAAATATTTACAGATTGATTAAAAATGTACAAGACAGATATAATGAAAACAGGAAAATTGCTGAGAGAAATTAAAGAAGACCCAAATAAATGGTAAATAAAACAGATTGTGTTCTAGATCAGAACAATCAATATTGTTGTCAATTCCCCCTAAATTGATCTATAGATTCAACCCAATCCAAATCAAAATCTGAGCCAATGTCTTTTTTTTGTATAAATTTAAAAAGTGACCCTAAAATTCACATGGTGGCTGAGTGCAGTGGCTCATGCCTATAATCTCAGCACTTTGAGAGGCTGAAGCAGAAGGATTGCTTGGGGCCAGGAGTTTGAGACCGGCCTCAGCAATATAGTGAGACTCTATCTATACAAAAACTAAAAATTAGCCCAAAATGGTGGCTCATGTCTGTAGTGCTAGCTACTCAGGAGGCTGAGGCAGGAGGATCACTTGAGCCCAGGAGTTTGAGGTTGCTGTGAGCTATATAATTGCACCACTATCCTCCAGCCTGGGTGACAGTGACACCCTGTCTCTTAACAAAAAAAAAAAAATTCACATGGAAATGCAAGGGAACTAGACTAGCCAAAACAAGTTTTAAAAAGAAGACCAAAGTTAGAGAACTAATAGGACTTGCCTTCAAGGCTTATAAAGCTACAGTAATCAAGGCAACAAAAAGTTGTGTAAGAACAGAAATGTAATGATAATGCATTTTGGATGAGGCCCCAAAACTGTTTAAAATAATTGATGTCCAGTAGACCACTATGTAGAACTTGGAAACAAACAGAAACAGATGAGATAAAGGAAACCAGTTTTATGACTTTTAATCCCAGCCTACAGCTATGGCATAAACAGGTCAGGAGACGGAGATTAGGAAGGATTTGTAGAGAAGTTTTTGGAGAGAGCGTAGAGGAGGGATGTGTGGTGTTCTTTCTATTTTATAGCAAAGCAAGAGAGGAAGACTTAAGAGTCCCCAGCGAGCTTGAAACACGTTCCCCAGAGACTTAAGAACAGAAGCGGTAGACGGGGAAAGAGAGAAGGAGCAAAACAGAACCTCTTCCCTGACACCAACCTTCCCACTGCAATCGGCCAGACTCTGGGCAGGAGGGAAAGCCTGACATTAAATCGAGATTATAGCTTTGGCTAGAACCCGGGTCTTAGCCTTTCAACTACTGCAAGAGCCTGCACACACATACTCAAGTGACGGGAGAACTGTGTGACCCAAGAAGAGCCCGAAAAGTCACGGGACTGCCCATATTTTCATCCAGTAGTGGAGGCGGTTTACAATAACAGCAGGGGAAAAAGGGGAGGGAGAGGGCACTTTAAGAGTCTTGCATGATAGATGTGACGGTTATACAATGATTATTTATTTAATAAAAGTAATGATCATAAGTAAATTGGAAGGGGGGAGAGGGAGAAGTATGAGGGAGGCTGAGGGCTAGGAAGCTCAACCATTATCTTCTGTATCAGGAAATCGATATATATCATCCAAAATCGAAAAATCAAGAAAGTAAAACAAGCACATTATTTTCAATGCTGGAGATTTCTTAAATAATACCTCAAAAGCACAGGCAACCATACCAAAATTGGACAAATGGGATCTAATCAAGCTAAAAATCTTCTGCACAGCAAAGGAAACAATCAACAAAGTGAAGAGGTAACCCACAGAATGGGAGAAAACATGTTCAAACTGCCCGTTTGACAAGGGATTAATAACTAGAATATATAAGGAGCTCAAACAACTCAGTAGGGAAAAATCATATAATCCAATTAAAAATGGGCAAAAGATCTGAACGGACATTTCTTAAAAGAAGACATAGAAATGGCCAACAGGTATGTGAAAAAATGCTCATCATTAGTCATCAGAGAAATGCAAAGTAAAACTACAATGAGATAGCATCTTCCCCAGTTAAAATGACTTTTATCCAAAAGACAGGCAATAACGAATGCTGGCGAGTGTGGAGAAAGGGGAACCCTCACACACTGTTGGTGGGAATGTAAATTAGTGCAACTACTATGGAGAACAGTATGGAAACTGTTCAAAAACTAAAAATAGAACTACCACAAGACCCAGGAATCCCATTGGGTATACAGCCAAAAGAAAGAAAATCGGTATATTGAAAAGATATCTGCACTCCTATGTTTATTGCAGCACTATTCACAACAGCCAAGATCTGGAATCAAACTAAGTGTTTATCAACAGATGAATGGATACAGAAAATATGGTCCATATACACAGTGGAATACTATTCACCCACAGAAAAGAATGCAGTCCCATCATTTGCAACAACATGGATGGAACTGGAGAACATTATGTTAAGTGAAATAAGCCAAGCACAGAAAGATAAATTTTGTATGTTGTCACTCACATGTGGGAGCTAAATATTAAAACAATTGATCTCATGGAGACACAGAATAGAATGATGGTTACCAGAGGCTGGGAAGGGTACCAAGGAGGCCACGATAAAGTGGGGATGGTTAATGGGTACAAAAATGTGTTGTAGTTAGATAGAATGAACAATGTTTGATAGTACAATAAAGTGACTATAGTCAACTCTAAGTCATGGTAGACTTTCAAATAACTAAAAGAGTAGAACTGGAATTTTCCTAACACAAAGAAATGATAAATTGTTGAGGTGATGGATACCCCAATGACCCTGATTTGATTATTACACATTGTGTGCCTGTATCAAAACATCACATGTACCCTATAAATACATACAACTATTGTGTACTCATAATAATTAAAAATAAAAAATTAGTTGAAAATAAAAAACAAAACAGCAAACAAAAAAAACACTCCATATGAAAGTTTAAAGATAAATGACAATCTTGTAAAAAAAACTATTCAAATCCCCATATTGAAAGGACTCCTGTAAATTAATAAGACAAAACAAACTACCCAAAGAAAAAAATAAATGACATAAATAGACAATGCAGACATGGGGAAATACAAATGGCAAATTAAAATATAGAAAAATGTTCAACCTCACTAGTAATCACAGAAAGCAAATTAAGATTGAATAGTATTTTTTATCCATGAGTGCTTGTCTAAAGACATGGGTGTGGGGAGCAGGTTTTCATACGTTAATAATGGTGCTGCCAGTTTTGAGGGTCATTTGGCAGTATCTATTATCACTTAAAATGTGCATTCACTCTAACTCAGGAATTTCATTCCCTAGAAAGACTCGCTTATCAATACATGGAGGCAGACGGGATACTCATTGCAGCAAATAACGGGAAACAACGTTAAAGTCCACTAATAGGGAAATGGTATAATGGAAACTCTGAGGCTGTTAAAAATAGTGGGATCTATCCGTACGCATGACATGGAAATAATGCCAAGAAACAGTGATACATTTAAAAAAGCAAGCTGCAGAAAAAGATGCCTAGTATGCAGCATTTAAAAAAACACAAACAATCTAAAACTGTGTGTGTATGTGTATACACATGCACATACATAGATACAGTAATATTCTTACCAAACTGTTAGCACTGGCTACATCTAGGAGGGGGATTGGCATAGAGTGGGCGATTCCAAGAGACTACAGAATGACTTGTACCATTCAATTTTTTTCTCAGTTTGGTGATTTTACTCAAGAACATATTGTGTCATTTGTCTAATTAAGAAATAATGATGCAGCACTTAACACAGCGCCTAGCATATAGCAGGTGCTCAACAGATGCTAATTTAAACTTAAAAAATAAATTAAGAAAATATTGCGAAAGAATTAAAAATTTAAATATAAAGGATATAGCAATAATGGTTCTAGGGCCAAGGTTATAGTGGCCACATTACAAGGCAATAAGTGATGGATTCTTCCCCAGGGAACAGGACTTCAATATAAAGGATATAGCAATAATGGTTCTAGGGCCAAGGTTATAGTGGCCACATTACAAGGCAATAAGTGATGGATTCTTCCCCAGGGAACAGGACTTTAAGGGGGGCATTATTGGGGGAAAAAAGGAATTCACAACCAAAGAAAGAAATTCAGGTCTAGGTGTACTCACTGACCCCGCAACAAGCCATAAATAAATATTTCTAGAAGTGCCTCCCTGAAGGGCACACTTACTCAGCACACTCAGAGTGGTCAACCTACCTGTCGTTTTTGCTGCGGCAGAGGTGGCGGGAACTCCACTGAGTTCACTCGAGCTCCTTTTCATGGGCCTCGGCTTGTACTCTCGTCTGGGGACACTGGAGGCAGCCGATATTCTGCAACACACACGAGCCAGACATCTGGTGAAGGAAGCAAAGCCCCCAAACGCGCATCCACTCTGCCTGGACGAGCACAAACGTAGCTCCCAGGCGGTGCTCAAGCAAGGGGTGCTTTTTACATAGCAATTCTTGAGTAGCCCGAATGGAGAGAGGTCATATCCCAAGTGTAGTTTTTCAACTACCTGTCTGAGCTTCCTCGTGAAATTCATCTTGAAGAAGACTATTTGAACTCGCAAAGTCTCCGAGGCACCTAACGGGCGCCCGGGATGCGATGGGCACTCAGCAGGGAGAACTGTCTTCTCCTCTCCCCTCTCACAGAGACAGAATTACGAGAACCTGCTCACGTGAGCAAGAGGTGAGCTCTCTGCCTACAGATGTGTGTGCTTCAGAGACTGGACACACCTTTTTTGTCTTCCCTCTATAATTACCCCCTTGATTTAAGCAAAAATCCCTCCAACTGTATTCATTATTATAATCCTATGTAAAATGATTTTCTGTTATCAAACCTGGCCAAAAAATAGGGTAGTTTTAAAAAATGCAATATTTTGATAGAGTTGCCATGCATACTGTGTATGCTATTACTAACTTTCAGAAAAGTACGGGATACATTTATCATTAAAGCCACAAGGCACACAGCAACCTTTCTTTGATAGTTCAGAAGGAATTTCTGACTTTCAATACCTGTGAGAGTCAATATCATGAACTCGGCCTGCTACTGGTACTGGTGAGGCAAAAACACAGCTTTTTTGTTTACAGATATTTACACATTTTCTGAGTATCACCTCACTCTTCTCCACAGCCCTGGATATTGGAGAGAGGGTGTACACCACCACCACCCTGGCCTGTGCCCAGGGAGCTAACCTCCCATCGATCAGCAGTGAAGCCGGGACAGCTCTGCAGGCGCTGATCTCCAAGGCAGGTGAGCAACTCGTCTGTTGCCCTGAATGCAGGTCACACAAAAGGGGCTGTAATGAAAAGGAAGAGGAGCAAAGCTGCCAGGTCCCTTTTCCCAGTGCTATCCTATTGGCCAAAGCCCGTACTTACTGTCTCAGTCCCATCCCACACCTGGTCATGGAAGCCAGGGACATAAAATTCAAAACAGAATGGGGCCGGGGAAAGGGGAGATGGAGGGAGGGACAGACAGACGACAGACTGATTTCGGGTGATGCTGCCTCTGCGGCCCTTACCGCATCTGCAGCCTGCTCTGAAGCTCCTGCAGGATCTCCGTGGTCTGTCTGTGATAGTCTAGTGCTGCCTCTATAAACACGGCCAACTGGCTGACTTGTTCTACCTGCAGCAGAAGCGGAAAATTATTCCGTGGAGGCCAGAGCCCGTGGACGTCCAGAGACAGAGGAGACCGGCAACAAAGGCCCCGTGTTGCGGGGAAGCCTGGAGTCTGCCCCGGCTCTGGTCCGTCTCATTTCGCTTCACCTGGGAGCCACGCATCGTAATCACACAGGTCACGCTATAGAGCTGTTTACGCTGGAAAAATGTGTCCAAATGTATCTGTGATTACAGATTTGATTTAACTCAATAAAATGCCTGTTTTTCCAATTAGACCGCGATTTTCTCAGGAGATGTCTATGCTATGAAGCTCACGGATCTTAAAATGAGAGATAAAGCTTTTCCAACTACAAGTGAAGCCAACATTTAGCAAAGGAACGGCTTACGTGGTGAAGCGTCTCTACGGGCACCTTCTGGCTAAGCCAAGTCAAGACACTAAGTAAATGAAACTGTTCTCAGACAAGAAAGGGGCAGGGAGTGAAGCACCGGGGCAAAGACTCGCCAGCCCCCTTCGCGCCTCTGCTGCTGTCGACACAAAACGGTTTCCCTGAAACATACGGCTGAAAGGCATGAACTATTACAAAGACTCTGGCACCTCTGTTTCCGCAAATCAAGACATGCATAAAATTAGTGACTAACTTACATTGGATGATATTAAAAAAAAAAAAAAAGCCATGTCACGTAAGAAACATCTGGAAGACCTGGGGATATATAGTTTGAGGAAGAGCAATCCCCAGGAGGCCTGGAGAGCTTTCCTGCTCCCCACGGGTCTGGGGTGTCGGGGGGGGCTGCTACCAGAAGAGGGATTATTTTGCTCATTTCTGGAAGCCCCAGAGGCAAGCCCCAGGGGGTGGAGGTGACGGGGCCTGCCAACGAGAATCCTCTGAACTCCAGGTCTGGACAAAGACACAGATCAAAATCCATCCCACCCTTCCCAGGCTCCCCGAAAGCCTGTGCATCATTTCCATGTTCACTTTCCAATCCGCGTTAGGGCAAACTCTGCCTGCTTATCGTTCAGACCTTCTCACCCTGCCTGGCCAGCCATGGACTTGTTTGCCTCCAGAGATCCACGCTGTTTTCATTTGTAGCTGCGCACTATTCTTCAGCTGCCTGTACTTTAATTTTTCTCACCCACCGACACTGTTTTAGACACAGGCTCAACATGCATTGAAGATACACGTGGAATTTCACTCGTGCCAAACCGTGAGCGGCAACTGAATGGCGAAATCCCACGGAGTTAACGTTACTTTACCATGTCCTGTGGCTGGAAAAGCAACAAGCCTAGCCTTAAATTTTCAAAAACCCAATAAACAAAACAAAGACAGCCTGGCCCCTACCAAATCCTAAGGATTTCTTAAATTTCACCTCTTTGGCTTTTACACATGCTTTTAAATAAGTCCTGTGCCACGGCTCAACATGATCATGGTAGAATTTGCTACAGAAAGAATTCTTCTTCCTCGCAGTGCTGGAGTTGTGTGCTTCGTAAAATCCGTGCCACATCTCTGTCTTTAATAAAATCGATTTGTCCTATTTTATTACCCACTTTAAAATATGCTTGACATTTTGTAATTGTTAAAGAAACAGTGAAAGACAGCTAAGGCAATGGTCCCTGAAACGTACGCAGGGTGGGGAATGGGAGGCGATCACCAGCTATCCTCTCTGATGTGGCTAAGATACGAGACCGTGTAATCTGGAGACGCGTTTGTAAGTCTTCACCTGACGGCTGACTTTGGCAAGATGAATCCCGGAGCCCCTTAAACCGTGGGAGACAGCAGCGTTGCTGCGCAGCACCTGCACCCAGTGGGTGCTCACGCAGTCCTCAAGAGTGGCTGCTAGGCTGTGAGTCTCTCTTGCTGACAGTGAAGACAGGCGGTGCCACAAGTGGACGATTTTCCTGTTGCTGCCAGAAAACGAAAGCTTGCAGCTGCCCCTCAGGCCGTGAGCATGGAGCTGCGTGCTGAGGACCCGCACAGGTGGACTCGGCTTCCCAGACCACATTTAGAATTAAATACCTAGACAGGCAGAACCGAGACAAAGCAACGCGCCCAGGCCTTGCAAGAGCCGAAGCCTGTTCTGAAGGTAAAACGTTTCTTCCGCTGGCCACACCACTCAATTTAGCGATCCGTCTGCTCCATCAGGGAAGGTCCCCTGGGATGGGAAAAAAGGCTCAATTCCACCGCCAGGTTGAGGCCGGGGCTGCCTCTTTGCACCTTGAGAGCAAAGTGTGACCGTGCCCTGTGGGAAGCCACACGACACATGCAGAGGAACAGGATCACCAGAGATCAGCTCCCTTCTCCGCACGTGGAGCACACTAGCTGCTACAGATGGGCTCACACCCAGCGCAGAGACCAGAGTGAGAAACTCACATCGCGAACAGACTTCCGCGTGGCTCAGAGGCCAAGGAGGCACAGGCCAGGCACAGCCCACGGTGGGTGACAAATGCATGGGGTGAGGGCTGTGCAGCCACCTGGGGGGTTCACGGAACCATAAAACCGGAGGGAGCCTGCAGTGGACAGAATTATGGCCCCTGCGAAGATGTCCAAGTCCGAATTCCCTAAACCTGCGAATACGTTACCTTACATGGCAAAGGGCTTTGCAGACATGATTAAGTTAAGGCTCTTGAGATGGGGAGATTATGTCGGATTATCTGGATGGCTCAACGTTATCGCAAGGTCCTTCAAGAGGGAGACAGGAGGGTTAGAGTCAGAGAAGGTGTGGCAAGGGAAGAGAGGTGAGAGGGAGAGGTCTGGAGTCGCCGTGCTGCTGGCTGGGAAGACGGGGGAGCTGAGCGAGGCAGGCGGCTGCGGAACTGGAAAAGGCAAAGCAACAGCTTCTTCCTCTGGAGCCTCCGGAAGGAACGCAGCCCCGCCGATGCCTCGCTTTTAGGACTTCTGCCCTGCAGGCTGTAAGATGGTGAATTTGTCTTGCTTTAAGCTACAGTTTGCAGTCATTTGTTACAGTAGCAACAGGAAACTAACAGCTGCCTTAGCCCACTCTCAAACCAAGCGGTATCCAGCCACGGGACTCATGCTGGCCACGGCCCACTGCTCATAGCAAACCGGAGAGGCTGCCTTGAGACTTGCAGGAGCCAAGCTCGTGGGGGAACGAGCCCACGGTGGCTGGGCCCGGGGACGTCACTGCTGACGTGGCCCCGTCCCATGGCTCCTCGCTCTCTTTCCAGGGGTCACATCAAAACAGGGATGGACTCAATTTACCCTCCATGGCAGACTACACGCGACGCATAACAGCCTGTGTCTCACCCATGGATGCATTTAATTCCAAAACTTCTCTTTAGCTAAAAACCAACGGACGGTAGGCAGCACGTGAGGCTGTGGGGAGGACCTTAGCCCTGGGGATGTGGGCAGAGAACAGAGCTGCCGAGTACAGTGGATTTGGGACACTAGAAGTTCCTAGGAGCTGTGGAAACCCGGGGGGCACCTGAGCCATGAGCCTGGCCTTGCGGACCAACTGCAGAGGACTTGGGCTGTACCCAGAGGACAGCTCAGATGACTACACATTGCGGGAAGGGCAACCCTCCTCCTCAGGGGACAGGGGACAGTGAGCAGCCAGGTGTGCAGGCAGAGCAGGCCCACTCTGAGGCCCACGGCCAGTACGGGGAGGTGACGGTGACGTGAGCGGGCGACACCCTACACAGCTGGTTGCCTGGGACGGGCAGTGCACGCAGCAAGCGTGAGTGAAGACACGCCCGTCCCTGCAAGAGGACGAGCTGCTGCCTCCCACGGCTGCAACGGCACACTCCGGTAGAGATCATCTTCCACGCAGGCTACGATAGTCTGGGTCACGTCCCACTCCGTCGGATCGAAGACCTCCACTCTTCCGGGCTTCCTCAGAGAAGCTGGAGGAAAATTTCTCATCTTTTCAGTCTGCTCATAAACAGATTCTTCTTCCCATGGGCAGAGGCCTTTATGCACAGCTTTGGAGAAAGTTTCAATACGGAAATTAAATTAATAACACGGATAATGATCCCTTGCATTTTTATTCTCCACTTTTTTCTTCTCGAATGCAGTTGCGCATTTGCCTGACCCTGGGCAGCTGAAAGTGACTCTCCCAGGGGCACGTAGCTCAGCAGAAGCCAACCCAGAATTCGGGTCTTTCACTCCTCCTCGGGTACGAACTAGGCCAGCACTTCCTAGTGTGCCTACTCCACACGTCACTGGCTCCCTGAAATGCCACTGATGATGATGATGATGATGATGATGACGACGACAAGGAGTTCTGTGGTCAATAAGTTTGGTAAACGGCCGACTGTATCCTCCCCTAGGAATTGCTTAGATATTACTTTCATACGATCACATAAAGACTCTAAATAGTCTTGTGATAAAGAAACTGCTTAGTTTTACTTAACCCAGGGTATCCCAAACTTACTTGACCGTAGAGAAATTATTAATGTAACTCACACGAACATATCATAGACTGGATTTTGGAAAATGCTACTCTAGACCAGTGGAAAGAACGTAGGAATAGAATCCAGAAACTCCACTGGTCTTGGGGATCCATGGATGGGGGATTTACACCAAGAGAGCTGGCAAGTTCTGCAGGCTCTGGCCTCACTGGGCTGAAACAGGCATCTGCTCTGCAATATGTCCTATTCCTGCTAATGTCACAGACCTACATTTGCTCATGTTACGCTGTGAAAAATAAACGTCTCAGCGAGGACAGAAGAGGAGAGTGTGTTAAGAAGCCTACAGGTGATTTACTGTTTCCAAGAAATGGTGATGAAGGCTTGGGACCCACCAGCTGACTCTCCTGCACCCCCACCTCCAGGGCCCTTCTCCAAGGAGCGGGCTGCCCTGGGTGTCACTGGGGACCCTGCTGGTCCCAGCCTGGCCCAGCAGAAGGGACAGGCCTGCCCCTCTGGGATCCCTGGAAAGCTGGGGGACCAGAACACCTCCTGGCTGACATCACTGCCTATAGAGTAACTAAGCCATTCGGCCTCGGGCAAGAAGTGACGTGCCACGCCACGTCTCCAATCCAGCTCCTACCGATGAGACGACCAAGGACTACAGCACGGGGCCAAAGGAGACTCTGCTCCACTGTCCATTCCCAATTCTCCCCAAAACTAGATGAGAAAATACATGCAACTTTTGCTTAGGAAAGTTGGAGTGAACATTTCAGGTCTCCGCAGGTGGAGGGGTGATCTACGTAGCTGGCGAGGCTGGGATGCCTGGCACTGGCCCGGCCCTAAGACCAGGACATCTGGACACTGCTCTGAAAGGTCGGAGGGGCCTGGCCCTGGGCTGTGTATTTATTCCTCAAGAAGGTGGGTTTGCAATGTGGCCAAGAGACCAGGTGTCATCCAGCTTTCTGCTCTGTGCACCTCACTGTCCCTGTGGGTGGTTCCAGGGCTTGGACTTGGGGCTGGGACAGCTAGTTGGACATTCGCTGTGGGCCCAGGCCCAGGCCGCCGCTTCCACGTGGTTTTCCGGGGGAGGGGCTGGGATGTGAGCCCTGCCTGGCCACCCCGTTTGTTCCTCAGTTGGGAGAAAGCGTATGTGGCACGGAGGAGCCACCACAGCCTGCAGACCCCTGCGAATGGCCTGCGGGCCAGAGAATCCCAGGAAGCGTCACACGACCCGCACTTGGAGACCCGGGAAAGACCAAGTCTGTTAACTCCAGCCAGGGCTCTCCTCAAATCAGTCAGAGCTTTGGCAAACAACTCCTTCAGGCGTTCTCTGGTGAAGCTTTTACTGGGTCTTAGCCAGGCCTGTAGGACGTGAGGTCTGGAAAAGGTGCCAGCTGTTCTCTGCAGAGTGAGGTCTGGGCCTCTGAACTGTCAGCGCCACACAGAGGGGCGGTGGCACCAGAGCCCCACACGTGCCACTCCGAACGCCTTCCCTCCCTGGCTTCACTCTGCATGGTCACTTCCGCTTCAGAGAGAGTGCTGCCGAGCCCCCTCCTCCTCCTCCTCCTGTGGGCGGGTGGGGACCTTCCCTCACCAGCAGGGCGGGGGACTCTGCGCCGCCCACCCGGGCCCGGTGTCTCGGATGGTGTCCGGGTGGGTGAGGCAGGTCGCCGTCCACCAGGGCTGCTTTCTTCAGCCGAGCGTGCGAGGAACAGAAAGTGCGATCTGGACCTCAGGCCGTGCCACGTCCTCCAGCACAGCTGACCAGAAGGTCTGTATTCCACAATTTTCGGGTGTTCTCATCAGTTAAAAGAGATGTCTCTTGATTCCAATCTAGCTTTTGTGTCAATTCCTCAATGAGTCAGAACCCAAAGGGTGAACGGCTATGACCAACATCCCCAAAGCCCCAACCCACAGTACCAGAAGCATCTCCCACTTGCACTCGGGGAAGGGTCGGGGCCTCTGCCACCATGTTCCCCCGAGGCCATGTGTCTGACAGAGTCAATGCACCTCGTCCCCAGCAGGGCCAGGCCAGGTGGAAGCACCGTCCAACCCATTAGACGATGGCAGGGCCTGCGATCCGCTGTGTTTAACTGGGAGTTAGACAGGTCCCAGCTGTCTCTGGTTCCAGGGTCAGTTCCTGGGAGGAAATCCAGCCGTCACCAGCCACCCTGAAGCGCAGCTCCTCGTGCAGAGCTTCCGCCCCGTGAAAGGAAGCCATGTGCGTGACGAAGGTTGGACATGAGGCTGGTGACCCAGGGGGAGCAGGAAGCCAGAGTCCTGCAGGCTGCAGACAGACCCACTGGCCCTGGCCTGGTTGTCAGAGGTGGACCAAAGACGGGGCTGAGGGTTCGCGGTACGGCCCAGCCCACCACGTACCGCCACTCCGTCTTTCCCCCAACAAGTCACATCCTCTGTTTACCCGCAAAGCACCGGGCAGTATCAGCACTCGCATGTCAGGTCCAAGGGGCGGACTGGAAAAGGTTTCCTCCCCCTTGCCTGGCCGGCGGGAGAGGACTGTCAGACCACCTGGCCGTGGCACAGGCACACTGACATGGAGAAGGACAAGGCGGTCCCCTTCTGGATCTGACTGCTGTGGCCTCCAAGAAGAGAATGGGGACAGTCTTCCGAAGCTTACACGATCACTCGAGTCTCCCCTGCTACGGACCTGGGAGGGGGGAGGGGAACGCTAGCGCACCGTGCCGCAGGCCATCGCCTGCACCCCCGTGGCCTCTCTGACACGGGGTGTCACCAAATGGTAGCTCTCGTCACTCTCATCACCATCCCCACAACCGACGTCTGTCACCACCACCATCATCACAGCAAGAACCAGCAACTACAGCACACGGGGCAGCCACTGCAGCTACGGACGGCAGGCGGGACGGGGAAAGAGGAAGGGAAGGAGCCTTGTTCCCGGCAGCCTGGACAGTCCCTCACCGTTTCATGACTTCGGTCTCCTCCCACCTCGGTGGCCGGTTTTCAGGGGCGTATGTCAAAGGGCTGGGAGGAAGAAGAAGGCCACCCCCGATGCCAGCCAGAGCACCTGCCCTGTGGCGCCATGGACCCAGGCTGGAGGGGCCGCCCTCGTGCACCAGCAGGTCAGCTCCCCACGGGAAGCCTCGGGGAGCCTGCCACCCGCCGGGCATCGCCAAGCGGCCCTGTGGAGCCTGAGGGAGGACCCACCTCTCACTTCTGCCGGGGCGGGGCGGGAGGGGTTAACCCATCTGTGACAAGCGGAACACCCGCCACTGTCAAAACATGGACAAATGACCGATCCTAATGAAGGGATCATTTTTGACTTTCGACTGATACCGAGGGAAAAACTGAGCCAGGCCGGGGCTGAGACACAGGCTTCCGCGATGAAGTACTTTGCAAAACCCGTCCCCGCGGCTCGTGCGGGAAGGCGGTGAAGGGAGCAAAGGGTGAGGCAGCCCGTGACACACAGGATACGGCCGCAGAGTTCAAACCACAGTCCCTGTGGCCCCGTAAGAAGTATCAGATACATGTCCCACTTCAAAAACATTTTCTAAGTACGTCAAAACGATTAAATATGGCAATCTGAAACAAAATGAAAAAAATGACTGCTGTTGGGGACCATTTCAAGAGAAAATATATACACTTAAGGGAAAACAAAGAGAGACAGCAAACTGTTACACTTCCTCCTATTCCCCCCCGCCAAAAATGTAAACAAGAAAAATTAAAAAGGGGAGACATACTAGAGTGTACTGTTCGGTCCCCAGTGGTTTAAGGGGCGTGGGGAGCGTCAGACCGGCCTCTCCAGTTGGGAGAAAGTTCCCCAGGATTAAAGCCTGGTCAGCATCGCACACGGCCCCACACGCCACCGCGGTGAATAAGGGTGCTCGGCGCACTGCGTTTGGCTGACTCAAAAGACATGAGATCTCATGTGCCTTTTCATGAACTACTGTAAGCACAACATGGTCTTGAGGACAGATAACCCCTGACGTGTCCCCACAGCTCTGGAAGTTTAACCAGTAGGTCCACAGCTGCGGTGGCTGAGATGGCCCCGGCGTGGCTGAGGCCAGCCAGGGGGCGGGGGCGCCGAGGGAGGCAGATGCCGGACTCCTCTTTCACTCGCGCAGTGAAAGTGCCACGGCCACCAGGGAGCCCCCACTGGGATGCTGCCCGGCTGGGGTCACCCGTCTCCCGCAGTTCCATTCCATTTGACTTCACTTGGACAAGTCAAGGCAAAGCTGGCGGCAAGAATCACAGCCCAACAGACCGTGGGCATTTCTGAGGGCTGTGCCCCAGGACCGCCACCGTCCCCAGTTCACAAGCACCGCTACGGAACAGCCGAACATTTCAGGTCACACTTTTACATCCTGGACACTCACCATGACAAGTAAAGGCGTCAGAGAGCTGGGGGCTGAGAGCCTCTCCCCTCGCTGAGAGCTCCTCTGCCTCGCACATCTGCCCCACAGAGTCCTTTTCGGTCTTAGCAAAACTGCAAATGGCCACGTGACGGGGACTTTGCATTCTGCTGGGAAACTGCACGTGCTACGGCCTCGCCCACAAAGGCCGGTCTCCCGCGCAGTCTGCAGAGACAACCCCACCTCCCCGGGCCGACTTGAGCACATCTCTGGAACAATCCTGGGATAAACAAAACTCCCCAAGACTCAAGATTCGAGTCAGGGCTTGCTGGGTTTCTGACGCTATCTCCGAAGCAGCAGATAAGGGTTACAGACAATTCTGGAAACTGTTGTTAACAACTAAGGCTTCAGAGCGTCTCAACATGCTGATCACAGTTACATATTCAACGTTTTATTCATTTACATTAAAGTCTCCTGTTTGGTTTAAATACTTACATCATTTTCTAAAAAATTAAACATGCTTCTTTCAGCCAACTCCTTTGACTCTTCAAATTTTTCTACCGCTTGTCTGACTTCTTCATCTGGTATCTTACCTACTCGCTTCTTTTTATAATCGTAATCCAGGCGGCGGCCTTCCAGCTTTTTCAGGTGGTGCTGAAAAAGAGCAGGGGTCCCTCAGAGGACTGTTACAGTCAAAACGTGGCACAAAAAAGCCTGTGCTATTTCTATGAAAATAGTCACTGCTCCTTCTTGGCTTAAGTTCTAGGGCAGGAACGCACCTCACGCTTCCACTGTGCGCACCTCAGCACCCGTTATGGGCTCCCACCACCGCCGAGCTCCAGGAGCACTTGTGGAATGAATGAATGAATGAATGAACGAATGGACAAATGCATGAGAGAAAGGATGGGTGTCTGTACGGACCATAAAGACGCAATAGCCGTGCTCAGATACTATTTTCCAGTGTTCTTTGTAGGATCCTTCATGTCAGCTGTATTTGTGTCCAGATAATTTCTTTTTTTTTTTGAGACAGAGTCTCACTCTGTTGCCAGAGTAGAGTGCCGTGGCATCAGCCTAGCTCACAGCAACCTCAAACTCCTGGGCTCAAGCAATCCTACTGCCTCAGCCTCCCAAGTAGCTGGGACTACAGGCATGAGCCACCATGCCTGGCTAATTTTTTCTATATAGATTTTTAGTTGTCCAAATAATTTCTTTCTATTTTTAGTAGAGACAGGGTCTCGCTCTTGCTCAGGCTGGTCTTGAACTCCTGACCTTGAGCGATCCACCCGCCTCGGCCTCCCAGAGCGCTAGGATTACAGGCGTGAGCCACCGCGCCCGACCTGTGTCCAGATAATTTCTAACCAAATTAACTATACAAGAAAAAACTGTCAACTCCTTATTAAGCAGCAGACTATGGAAACACACATTTCTACTATCCCTTCGATTACTAATAGATTTCCACAGAGTTCCCAGAGAATTATGGAGTAAGTTGCATAACATGCTATCAATGAATGCAAAGGAGAGAGTGTCACACGCAACCTCTGAAATGATGAAATTTCTAAACAACATTATAATCCCTTTTACAAAATATAACAATTAGAGCTGTCCATTCATGGAATGGACTGCCTTGTGTGTAGTAAGTTCCCCGTCACGGTTTGTGTTCAAGCAGAGAGATGCCACGCCGGAAACAGCGCAGAGCAGGGATAACCGTGCAGGGCAAGGGAGGGGCCCTGGGAGTTTATAACAGGAATCCTTGGGAAACAGACATTTGACGTTCAAAGTGTACGTGAAGACTGACTGTCCCACGGAAGCGGGTGGACAACGTGCAGTATGCACTCCAGAGGGAAGTATGGTTCTGCTTCCAGAATGATGAGGTGGTCAGAGCACATGGGACCGAAGGTCAGAGGTGTCTCTCCTCCGTGCTCTGTGACCTGGAGCCAGTCCCTGAATCCCTCTGGACCTCCACAGGTACGGCTGAAGTCAGCCACGCGCTAAACGAACAGGCTCCAGCCCTGATTTCTGAGCTGCGTGGGGCACAGCTGGGACTAGGGAAGCTTCCTGAATCTCAGGCTCCTAACTGCTGACTGTCTACAAGACACAAGCTTAGATTTACAGTCTCTCCATCCGTCTGAGTAACAAGATGCCATTTAGAAAGTTATGTTGCTGCACAGGGAACTACAACATTTAAGAGTAAGCATATTTTACACGTGTCTGTGGCTGGCTACCTCCTGAACCAGGCCGAGTGGAAGAGCAGCGTCGACCAGGAGACAGTTTCTATGGCCTTCCCCAAGGACAACGGCACAAGAAGACATGAAATTTCCTACATTTCAGCAAAAGAGGTATTTGGATTTAAGGCTCTGCATTTGGGGAGGATGTCGTGGCATCCCCCAAACCCAGAATGTACCTCTTCTCTCAAATCATCCGTTCAACAATAATTTGTGAGCACAAACCATATGGCAAGCTTGTGGCTACCACACTGAACAAAGTACAATTCCTTCCCCGTGCAACGCCCGCCCGACCAGAGAGGAGGGTGCGCAGCGGTGCTCGGCGTGCAGGGGGACAGGGGAGCGGCCTCGCCCCTGCAGCCTGGCGAGAGAACACTGAGCTCCCCAGAGGAAAGAACGTCTGAGCTGAGCAGGGATTTTAAACATCACTTCAAGTAGCAATGGGTACATGTACAGCCCGGAGGACTTACCCCAATCTCTTTTAAATCTTTATCTTGCAGTAACTGAAGTGGATCAATGAAAGTTTGCTTCACGTTGATATCAAGAGAGTCCTTCACCTCGCCCATCAGCTTCAGGGACTCGCCAACTTCTATCAGTGCGTTGCCTTGAACAGAAAACACACAGGACAACGCTTCCTCGGGAGACTGCTCTAGGTCAGCGGTGATATTTATTTAATTCTCTCCCTAAAGTTTGTGGACAATGGTGCAAGAAGGTCCTTGCTCTGAACTCTCAGTCCTGACTCAGAAGAAAAAGGGGAAAAAGGTCTCTGGAAGCACTTACCATTTTGGCCACCAGATGGGGCTAAAGCTCCCTTTAAAAATTAGTACTTGGGACACTGGCACCAAGGGTTCCTCAGACACTCAAGAACAAAATCTCGCCTTGTAAACAATGAAAGAATTGATTCATTGGGGGCTAAGTATTAACCAATAAAGATGACAACAGAAATAAATGAGCAAAACCTCATCTCAGCTTCTAGCTGTGGGATCTTCAGGCTGCTCCCAGTAGCCGTTTAGACGGTCCTAAGGCTCCCTGCCCTCTCAGGTGTCAAAGGAGGCCGCTAGGGTCACACAGGACCCCTGTCTGCTCTCTGGCAGTGAGGCCCAGGCCCGCCTCTCTGGGCTGGGGTAGCAATAAGCGGTTTTTGCTGGATTACACCCTGGTATCTGGGCCCAGTTAAGCTGCAGTAATCTGCAAGCTCACTGTGAGGTGGGTGGCCTGGTTGGTGTGCACGAGGGTCGCAGGTTCTCTGTGCACCTGGGAAGCTACCAAATTGTCTGGCTGTCCCCAAGGCCAGGTGCAGAGCAGGAACGTCCTTGGGTTTCAGGGCCTGCCTGGCAGTGTCAGCTGGTCCCTCACTGAAGTGCCCTCAGGATAAGGGATGGGCCATCTTGTTCCCGTTGACCCTTGGAATAAAATAAAGTCCACACTACACAGCTCTGAAGGACACCATTACCCTCTGTCACTAGTTAATTAATGTTTTAATACTTGAGTTTTTTTTAAGTTTTCAAAAGGCTTTTTTCCCCCCGATTTCCTAGCATAATTACTGTTGTCAAATATCTGATTTCTCTATTTCTGTATTCTGTTTTGTTACCACTACATGAATAGCAAACGTGCCAAATTCTCCTGGAATATTTAATATATTAAATTCAATTCACCCCCAGTTTAATTTATTCACTGAAAGCAAACTCAATCAAAATTTAATGAGATTTTTTTTTTTTTAATACAGGGGACTTGAAATGACTTAAGATTCATCTGGAAAAATAAAACCAGTAAATATGTCCATGAAATTTTTGCAATAAAATAACTAGAGGAAATTTTAGAAAAAAATATATTTTAAAATTAAAATACTTAAAACCACATGACACTGAATCAAAACAGGATATCGGTCAAGAAACAGAAGAGAAAAACCAGAAACAAAGTATAAAAGTTTAGTCTATAATAAAAGGTCATCTCAAATCAGCAGGGGAAAGTTTAACTTTTCAATAAAGTGCCAGGACGTAGAAAACGAAATTAGAGCCCTGTTGCAGTCTCTCCAGTAAACTCAGGGCTTGGAAAGTTAAAGGTGAGAAAAGAAAACACGTTTCAAAGGAAAAGTATAGGCAAACATTTACATCATTTGCAGGGATGGGAATGAAAAGATTTTCTAAACGTGATGCCAAAGCCAGAGACCGTAAGGGGAAGACTAATGAGCCACTAGGTAAGAAACGAAAATCTCTCCAATGACCTTCCTACACAAAGTCAGAAGGTAAATGCCTCCTGGGACAAAACTCCATCAGCATATACGGCACACAAAGAGTCAATATCCTGACCATTTATTGAGCTCATAAACCAGTAAGGGAACAAAAGGAAAAACAGGCAAAGAACACAAATATACAATTTACAAAAACAATGACAAACGTGAAAAAATGTCACATGTAGTCAAAAAAGTGAAGTTAAAACAGCATTGTGATATCATTTTTATACATAACATTTAAAATTATCGGTAACTTAAAAGTAAACTAAAAAGATAATTCCTAGGGTTAGTAATTGTGTTGGGAAACATACTCTCCTACACCCCTGGCAGGAATGTCACATATGTCAAATTGGTACAACCCATCTGAAGGGTCAGTTGAGAATATGATTTAAAGCCTGAAAAATAAGCATACTCTTTTTTTTTTCTTTGGTGGTTCCATTAGGGTGACAAAGTAGGCCTACTCTTGATGCAGCAATTTCACTGCTAAGAATTTCATCTAAATTATGTCAAAGAATGTAATTGTAGCTCTCCCCAAAGATTTACCTATGAAAATGGTTATTATAAATGCTACATAAAATTTTTCTACATAAAGAAAAAAATGAGTAAATGGGATTGACTGAGCAAACTATGATTCATGGAATACTATGCCACTTTTAAAAACAGCATTGTAGAAGATTAATTCTTTTATGACATGGGTCATGATACAGTTAGTGGGAAAAAACAGGCTACAAAAGGATATATAACCCATTTTTAAAGGTATATGTGAATACATATTAATATAAGAATAAACGAGGTACAAAGGACACCTCGTTTAATTGGGCCTATCAGTGGATATGGGAATGCGCATAATGTTAGCATTTCCTTTATTTTACTCAACTGTGTTTTCTAAACCTCCTGCAATGAACACGTATTACTCTGGTCATATGAAAAATAACAGAGGTTGCTGAACCGAAGGGTGTGTACACAAACTAAAACCAACACAGGAGGCGTTCTCACTTCTACCAGATGATACAGGAACACTCACCGAAGGTGGACTCTTCCCCGAGCTCCTTCCCGTACTTCAGCATGCAGTCCCCCAGCAAGCCTTCCGTCTGCGGGTACCCGGTGGTCTTCACCTGCCCTCGGATCTTCGACACGGTGTTCAGCATTCCTAGCTTAGCTCTGTATGCTTAAAAACATTGTCATTTGTAATTCCTTAAAGTTACAAGGCGGAGTGACAGGTACATAGCATTTAACAAAGGCAGCTGCCAAAGTCGAGGTCACCCTAGACAAAATGCCAGAGACCTGACGCATGAAACAGCCACGTGTGGCCTATTTAATCTTCTCAATTCTGTACCAAGGTGGGTGCTAAGTGCACCATTGCACAGCCAGGATGAGACATAGAAATCACATTGTTGGCTCCAAGTAATAGTAACTGGGGCTACTACAAGCACTACCCCTAGAGTGAGACCCTGAGGAATGCTTGAAATTGTTAACACGTGAAGTCAGACACTGTGCAGATCATTTTTCCTGGGGACCAAATGTAAGCAAAGAACAGAATTGCTGAGATGAATGTTTCAAACTACCAACTGTCATTAACGCACACACGCGCGCACACACACACACACACACACCCTGCTCCCAAGAATTGATTCGGGTCAATGATATTCAGTATTCTAAGGGGCTCTGCTGCCCACGTATAGGAGGCAGAAGCCCAGGGGGAGACAGGTCCTGCCACAGTGAACAGCGGTCTTGTGCTGCCGGTCCCCAGGTGCAGCTCAGCACCCCGCTCCCCAGGGAGGGGATGGCAGTCACTGCTTCTTTCTTTTCTTTCCTCTGACTCAGGCGATAAGTATTTACTAATCCAGGCTCCTGCAACACACTCTGCTTTTTACTGGGACTCCAGAGAGACCCAAGACAGCTTTTGCCCTCAAGGAGCTCACTATCTAGTTATTGGGAGGGAGAACACATGACATAATTATGAAAATAAAGTCTGGCGTGGCACAGGGAAAGGAAAAGACAGTCCTATGCAGAAAAAGATTGAAAGATGCCCTAAAAGGTACAGAAAACAGTGTCTGTAAAGTGTGGAAGAGAAAGTATGTATGGTATAATCAATGGACAAGGAGTAGGGTGGTTCAACCTAACAAGAAGCTAATACAGGACAAATGGGAATCATCTGTGGAAAAAAGTGACTATGCACTGAGCACCAAGCTAAGGATTTGGGATTTCACTCCGTATGCTGGAGAGTGAATCACATCCTAGCTTGTATTTGAGATAAATTTAGGTTGTCAAAGGATAAACTTGTTTTCCTCTACTTTAATAATTACATGTTTATTTTTAATGTACTATAGACCAGCGCTTCTCAAACTTTAATGTGTATGCAAATAACCAAAGGATTTTGTTAAAATGTAGAGTCTGGTTCAGTCAGTCTGGGGTGAGTCCAAGATTCTGCGTTTCCGGCAGTCTCTCCAGGGATGCGGATCCTGCTGGTCCGTGGACCACACTTTGAGTAGCAAGGCTTTAGACACTCCCAGTGCCAGCCTTTTGAACCTTGCTGACCGCAACCGCAAAGCACTTATCTTCCAGGTCCCCAGGCCCAAAGGCTTCACTTCTCCTACACACACACATTCACACACATGCACATGTGCACACATGTGCACACACACGCACACGTACGTTCAGCCCCACCCTGCAGGCATGTGAGTGAGGGCCATCAGGGGCTGCTGGGGTTGTCTCTTCTCCAGGAATAACCAGACACCTCTGGCCAGTGGACACTTTTATTGTTGGCCAGTGTCTCCCTATCCCATTGAGTGTCGGCTCTTTGAGGGTGGGGTCTCTGTCTGACTTCACAGTGTATTTCCAGCAGCCGGGACAGTCTCAAGCACAGAGGAAGCACTTATTAAATATTTTCTAATATATCAGGAAAAGAAACTTGTGTGGTTCATTCAATCACTGATGAGGCCAGGGAGAAGATACATTATTACAATTTTTAAAGCTATTATCATCAAAGCAGTTTTAAAGAACTTTAAACCGGCTGTCCTTCCTGGATATATTTCATAAAATTTATGTTATTACATTTTTGCTTTCCTGATCTTCAGATGGTTAGGTATGTGCTGATGCCTACCGCCAAGGGAATCACAGGGACTACATGCAAATAGTGAATTGCTAAACAGTAAAGGCTGTTTTGGGAATCCACAGATCTCAAGGCTTGGGCGCCCTCTGCTGGTTCCTGTGATTCACAACCTAGGAAAACCTCATCAATGGATGCCGCTTCGGACCCGAGGACTTAGACCTCCTGTGCAGACGCTGATGTAACACTGGACCTTCTCGTGTTGTTTTCACATTCCTCGTGCCTCATTTCTTCAGCCTCTGAGCCATGAAGTGAAAGCCTTTTCAAATTAACATACGCCTTTAGAACAGGATGGCAGAAATGTCTTCTTAAAATTTTTTTTAAATGAGGAAGTAACTGAGTAAGAAAACATTCACAGGATGCTTCGTGGCTTTCTGAAGCATCTCATGAAAAATGTCTTTGCACGAGTCAGCGCTGCCTTGCTGCTCAGATCAACACTCCATCCAAATGACATCAACCAAAGTTCGCAGAAATATGTGCTGTTTCTCATCAGCGGGGATTGACCGTGACCTTTGACCACTGGGGACTCAACTTGAAAAACTGAATTTCATTATTTGGACACAGAGGACATTGTTTCTAGATCATGTCAACCAAATGCCAAACAAACGTGGGTTATTAGAGCCTGCGACAGCAAATGAACAATAGAGTATTTCAAGACATCGTCTTACTTTACCTGGATTTGGCTGAAGATATTCGGTGGTTTTTGAGAGAATTTCTGCAACAGCTTTATTGGTAACATCTATTTTCTAAAAAGTAAAACAAAACAAAACAAAAAAACATTAAAATGTGAGTAAGTGACAAACTCAATGAATTCACAGAACAAACAGGGAAGTAATTTTTCATTAATTTAATACACCATTTGGATGATTTTCATCCAAATGAATATTTTCAACATTTTTGAAAGAGGCCAATACTTTCTCATTTTTTGATTTTGGAAATCATCTCTTCCCAATGATGTTAGCGAACATTAATTTATTTTTCTTATCATTCATTAAAATGAATATTAATGTAATATTTGGAAAATGTGTTACAGTTATTACACTTCACTGGATTACTGAATATACCTAGAAGTCTCTCAAAACCACGACATGAGCCAAACTTTCCCTATCTGCCGAGTGAACTTGAATTTCTATACTTCTATAAAGGATGCCATAGTCATGATTCGTATTAAACACTACCTCAGTCATCAACAATAAAAGAATCATAATCATTATAACTAAAGCAAACATATTCATTTGCACTATGGTCAGAAGATGTTAACATCTAAGTTTTCCCAAAACTTTTCCTGAAGTTAATAACCCTTTCAGATTAAGACTGAATCTTTCCCTCTGTAAAATGATTCCTGAACTTTCTGATTGGTAGTTAACCAGAACTAATCCAAGAATATGCAAATCTCAATAGCTTTATTTTATACCAGCAATAGCCCAAAAACAAATGTGAAGGCGACAAAGGTCTTATTCATGGAGCAATAAAAATATGCGATAACAAGAAATAAA